ATAATGGTTTACTTTTTACTTATAATACTGTAATAGATACCAGCTATGTGGCAAAATAATTGTTCTATAATAAAGTCTCTATATTCCCTTTCAAAGTAAATTCCTAATTATTAAATCTTTTGCCAAGATTTCTGATTTTAATCCCCTCTGGAAAAGGGGGGTAAGAGACATACTGTACAGAATCTGTAATAACAGAGAAGAAACAAACAGATTTGTTTGGAGATCATCCAAGTTTCCTGCCATCAATTCTCTAGGATGAACTACTACGATGCCTGGAAACACATTAAAAACCACTGTGCATATTCTGTTTTTAAAGGTAATCATCTTCACTGTGTTTTAAAATTCATTATTTTAAAAATTAAAAAAATATATAGAAAACCACACAAAATAAATGTATGGCACTGCGACATTCTATAAAACAAACACTTGGTTATTATAAAGTAACCACCATGGCAGCCAGGAAAAATAGAACCCTGCCAACCTTCTCAGAAGCCCTTTCTTTCCATGAGCCCCAATCCTAACCTCTGCCTACTTCCAAGCAACCATTATCTTGACCTGTATAATAATAATTTTCTTGTGTTTTCTATAGCACTGTCATCCAAAAGTGCATACTTACCCACTATTAACTGTTCATCTCTACATGCACTATTAATTTACATATAGCACTGTATACATTTGTTAAATACTATTTAAGTGAACATATTTTACAATATAAATGCAAGAAGATCAAAGTTTTACCCATCTTAAATATTTTATCCTTTTCTCATAGACAAGATGATTTTCAAGGAAAAGGATATTAACATTGTATCTGTAACAATTTGGCAAATCTATAATAAAAGGGAAATATGCTAATTAGACTGGATGGAAGCTGGGCTGCGAGGGAAGCCAGAGGGAAATCCGATGCTTGTAGCTAGGGGAAGGAAGGCCTACTTTTGCACAAATTTTGTGCATTGGGCATCTAGTGAAATAATAAAGTAACAAAAATCCATTATAAAGAAGCAATGCTCAGAAAACAAATCAAAAAAATTTTTTTTTCTAAAAACCAAAAGCCAGAAATGTTTCTGGGATAATAATTATCCAGAAAGATTATTAAGTTATAGAATGAGCCGAAGCTGGCTTGGCTCAGTGGTAGAGCATCGGTCTGTGGACTGAAAGGTCCCAGGTTCGATTCCGGTAAAGGGCATGTACCTTGGTTGCGGGCACATCCCCGGTGGGGGTGTGTGCAGGAGGCAGCTGGTTGATGTTTCTCTCTCATCGACGTTTCTAGCTCTCTATCTCTCACCCTTTCTCTCTGTTAAAAATCAATAAAATATATATTTTTAAATAAAATATAATTTTTTTAAAAAAATTATAGAATGACTCAAAATTATATCTATTCAATTTTTATATATCTCTTTTAATATGTGCACATAAAAAAAAAGTCTTTCATGAGAAATGCTGAATGACTATACACAGAACATGGTGGTATGAAAACATTTTACTAAGTATTTCATTTTCTAATTTCAGAAGAGAAATTGGAAGTCAACAAAAGGTAAATTTTAATCTGCTTTAAAGTAACTTTCCTGAATATAAGTTAATATTAACCATAAATATTTGAAAAACACAAAAATACTGGTTATATATTGACAGAAATAATGCATAATGTCAATATCAAAAGACAATTCCTTTAACAGTTGAACTTACTTTTTATTAAGAGGGTTATTCATTATTTATTTCATTATACCTCCACTATTTCTTCAAAAAACAATAGTTTATCTTTCATTATCCATTAAATCTTATAGATAGACTATAAAATAACAAGACTACTTTTTAAATATAGCATAATTTATACATGCAAGTATTTTATTTTATTTTAAAGATATATTATAGTTAATGAAAAAAATATTTTTCAGTAGGCTTCCTTGAAAACTTCCTTGAAATTCATTCAGTATACATACTAATTACTATTATAGAAATGTTTCCCAATGGACTCTAATACAGGAATATAATGTTCTAGAATTTTACCAAAATCTTACTGTGTTCCTATTTCTCCTTTTCTTTCCTGAGTCCTCACACTTCTATATCTACATGTTAAAAATGAGTTATATTGATAATTTTCAGAAATTATCTATTAAGAATTCAGAAAATCCAACTCATGAAAATTGCCATAAAAGTGTGCTTTAGAAGACAAATGTATTTTAAAAAATCCAACTGTAATAAAAATAAAGCAAGTCAAACTCTATCTTTTTACCAAACTCCACTAAAAAATTTTTTTTGGAGATGTATTACAAGTGAAAATAAATTGGCTTAAAAGTATAATAAAATGCTATCTAAGAATAAATTAAATTTTTTCAAATTAATATTTAAGATAAAATTATAAAAATCTGATAAAGCATGTGTTAATACCCTGTTTCCCTGAAAATAAGACAGTGTCTTATATTAATTTTTTCTCCCAAAGTTGCGCTAGGTCTTATTTTCAGGGGATGTCCTATCTTTCCATGCGCTAGGTCTTATTTTTGGGGAAACACAGTATTAATAATAAATTAAAGAATACTGACCTTTTTTAAAACTACATATTTTTAGGCCAAATTACGTGATAAGAAGTTGTTCTTTCTTTAAAATCTACTCTAATTTCATTCCTACTTCTGGTCAATGCTCATTTCAAAAACTTGAAATAATGAAGTGGGTTTCTAAAGCTAATAAGTATGAATACTCTCTGAAATACTGAAAATGCCTTTAAAATGCAAAATGATTATGATAATGATGATGATGGCAATGACAATATCAGTGATGATTTGCATAATGCTTCTAAGGAAGAGATGCTAAATTAATTCTATAGTCCCTGTAAGATTTCCATGATGAACAGCAGGGCGCATCTTTCTATACAATTGAATTTTGAAAGAGTACTGAGATAGTTAATTTCTTAAAATGTAGATGCACAGCCTGGCTGGTGTTGCTCAGTGGTTGAGTGTCATCCTATGCACCAGGAGGTTATGGTTCAATTCCAGGTCAGGGCAAAATGCCTCTGTTGCAGGTTCAATCCCCAGTAGGGAGCATGCAGAGGCAGCTGATCAATGAATCTCTTGTCATTATGTTTCTATCTCTCTCTCTCTTTCCTTTCCTCTCTGCAATCAATAAGAAATATATATATTAAAAATATATAGATCCACAAATATATGTCCTTTAGAGTAGAACACTAGTAGTCAGGGAATGGCATGTGAGCTTTGCTTGATTTTTTTTTTTTCTACTTAAAAAAAATGCAGCCTCTAATAAAAATAATTCCATCTAGTTGTCAAAATTGGTGGTTATTTAAAAAAACTTTTCCCACCATAGGCAGGCCAAATCTAGGCATGTCTTTCCTTGTGTAAGAGAGAGATGAGACCAATTTCCCTCCTCTAGCCAGGTTCCTGATACTCCTCCTGGTTGGCTCTCTGCTTTACTCCTGCCCATCAGCCAAAAGTAAAAAAAAGGAAAACGAGGTAGTTCTGATAGTGTATCCTGGGCCCTGTGTATCTGCCTTTCTCTCCTTTTTCTTTATATGCAGTAGCAAATTCCATTCATCTTGTCCTGGAGAACTATGATTTAATACATTTCAAGCTTAGTTATTTAAAATAATTCATATCTGATTAGGTAATCGTGAGCATTCACACTTAAATCAGTTTGGTAAATGTTTCAAGTATTACACAGTCCCTGCCAGGTGCCAAGGATTTTCACTTCTCTTAGGTCTGCCTGCTCTTTGTTGTGTTACTTTTGGGGTTATCATTCTGCTGGCTATGTCTACTTTTCATTCTAATGCTGAAGTATTTCCTTTGAAAGAACAGGGTCTTTTTCCCTTTTGAGCCCTGGTTCTGGTTTTTAAGGCTACTTATCCACTAATGCTTCCCTTCTACCAACTAAACTAGCATTCCCCTGGCTAAGTTTTAGATACTTACTATCAGATACTTCCTCAAGCTGAAGCCCCCAACTCCATTTCCTCCAACCCACAGAAACTGGATTTCCTTAGTCCCCAACTCCATCTGTCCTCTTACAGTCAGTTCTATGAACACAGTTATTTTCCAGCCCCTTTACAATACCGTCTCTTCACTATTAAATACGTTTTTTTCCCTTGGGAAAATCTTCCTTGTTTCTTCATCTCTCTCTCTTTTTTTAAACAATTCTTCTCCCCTATATCATTAACTCTCTAAAATCACATCTGCAACCTGGCTGGTGTGGCTCATGGCTGAGTCTCGACCTATGAACCAAGAGGTCAATGGTTTGATTCCTGGTCAGGATACCTGATCAATGTTTCTCTCTTATCCATATTTCTATCTGTCTATCCCTCTACCTTCCTCTCTCTCTCTAAAAAAAAAATCAATAAAATGAAAATATTTTTTAAAAAGCACTTATGTGATTTAGTTCTTTTAAAAATGTCTTAATATACTAGTACATCACTCAGCAAAGGACAGACCACTGCCCTTCTTTAAAAATCTTTTATAAAAATCACATTTTCATTTTGCACAGAATTTTTTGCTCTCTTATCTTGTATTTCCTTTAATTCACGTAAATTTTACTTGTGGAACTGAATTCAGTAACAGGGATATTTAGCCTTATGGCTGCAATTACTCTTATTTTCCTGTTCTTGAGGCACTTCAAACTCTTATGATATGTAATGAAAATTAGCAAAAAAGAGAAAAATATTTCTATATATAGTTAAAATCTTATGTGCAATATCACTTACATCATTCTTATGACTTTGTGAGATAAATAATTACTTACTTAATTGTTATATCATAAGTCAGTCATGCTTAAGATAAGAAATATCCTTAATGGTGCGGAGTTAGGACTCTCTCTTACCTTGAGCTTCTTCAATAAGACTCAAAACCCACTGTGACTTAGTTTGTAAGTTATGAGCTTATTTTTCATAAAAAATACAACAACGTCTTAAGCACCAAAAGAAAATAATAGATGGCCCAATGCATTTTCAAGAGCAGCAGTAACAAAGAAAACTGATGAAGTATCAGTAAAATTATATATGGACTTACATAATCGTGGAAGGCTTTTGCTTCACTTGAATGTTCACATGTTTCCCGTCTTTCTGGAGCTGCACAGTAGAGATCCCAAAATACACTACAAAAGTAATTGCGGTAACATTAAGAAAATCACACCAAATGAGAGATAACCATGCAAAAATAGAAGATATATTATTTTTATATAAATGTGTTTTGTTCAGAAGAAATATTTCTTTCAAAGACAAATTCAGACAAAAATATTCATGCAGTGATAGGGTATAATGTAGCTATTGTTCAGAAATGCTAATATGATATTTCTAAAAGGATAAAATAATTTTTTGAAAATTTGAAACTGTCTTTCTTGTTTGTATACATGGCAAACATGATTGAAACAATTATAGCAATTTTCACATTTTCCCATGAAAAACTAAAACAGTAAAAAAAAAAAATCCTAATTTAATCACTAAAGAATAAAGTGATTCGTTAATTTTTTTCAGGATAATTTTGTTGTACAACTCACAAGCCAATACCCTAACCATTAAGTCACATTGGTCAAACAAATACTTTTTTAAAAAATATATAAATGTCCTCTTGTTTTCCCTTGCAATAAATTACCAAAATAGGTTATTAATTTTGAAAATTAAAAAAATCTCACTATTCAAGAATAATGAGAAAAGGCAAGAGGAAATTGGTTGGGGAAAAAATAATTATACTACTTATTCTGGTCATCCTTCCATCTATAAAATTAACTATGAGCATGAGCAAGGAATTCCAAAATCAGGAAAGCAAATGTCTAAAAGTATTACTGGCGATTAGCCTGTCCTGCTAATTACTAGCTCAAGTTGCTTAAACAAATTGGAAACATAATCTCCTCCTTTATAAAATGGAGTTGTTTAGAAAATTAAATTATAAGACATAAGCACAGTATCTAATTCATATAATATCAATGCTATATCAAAACTTATGGGATGCAACAAAAGCAGTGCTAAGTGGAAAAATTAAAGCTATAATATTTACAATTAAAAACAGAATGATCTTAAATCAACAACATAACTTTAAAACTTAGGGAACTAGAAAGGAACAAATTAAACCAAAAAGCTAACAGAAGGATATAATAAAGATTAGAGTAGTGATCAATGAAATAGAGACTAGAAAAACAATAGAAAAAATTATTGAAAACAAAAGTTAGTTCTTTGAAAAAAAATCAACAAACTTGACAAACCTTTAGCTAGATGGACTAAGAAAAATAAAAGATTTGCCCTAGCCGGTTTGTCTCAGTGGCTAGAGCATGGGCCTGTGGACTAAAGGATCCTGGGTTCAATTCCAGTCAAGAGCATATACCTTGGTTGCAGGCTCGATCCCTGGTCAGGGTGCATTTGGGAGACAACCAATTGATGTGTCTCACACTGATATTTGTCTCTCTGTCTCTCCCACTCCCTCTCCCGCTCTCTAAAAATCAATAGAAAAATATCCCTAGGTGAGGAGTAACCAAAAAAAAAAAATTTTTTTTAAAGATTCAAATTACTAAAGACTCTACCAAAAAACTGTTAGAACTAATAAATAAATTCAGTAAAGTTGAAAAATATAAAAATCAAAATAGAAAAACTGTTTAGTTTCTATACACTAACAATAAATTATCAGAAAGAGAAGTTAAGATATAGAATTGTATCAAAAAGAATAAAATACCTAGGAATAAACTTAATCACAGCAGTGAAGGTCTATCCACTGAATATTATAAGACACTGATAAAAGAAATCAAAGAAGATACAAATGGAAAGATATTCCATGCCATGGATCAGAGGAATTAATGTTGTTAAGATGTTCATACTACCCAAAGCAATCTACAGATTCAATGCAATCCCTATCCAAATCCTAATGGCATTTTTCACAAGAAACAACAACAACAACTCTAAAATGTGTGTGGAACCACAAAAGACTGAGTAGTCAGAGCAATCTTGAGCAAGGAGAACAAAGCTGGAGGCATCACACTTCCTGATTTCAAACTATTTTACAAAGCTATAGTAATCAACAAATACTGAATTCTTTTCTCTACAATCTGAGATGTTGGAGGCTAAGATGATTTTCAGTTCCTCTAATCCTTACAGTTATTAAGCTTGAAACCATACTATTATTCTTAAAATGCGGTGAATTCATCATCATGAACAACACTTTAGATTTACAGTCCTTATATTCTTAAGTAGAAACAAGTAAAAAATCTGTATTTTACAAATGAAAAAAAGAGAATCAAACTTGAAAAATATAAAAATATTTGTTCTTATAGTATTAAATTTTCCCCCACACAAATCAAAAGAAAGCACAAGATTCCCAAGTTGAGAATTCTTATCCAAAAACAGTTTTCCTTCTATCCCGAGGATGTGAGAGAAATGACGTAGCTATTTATCAGTATCTCCTGGGAACACAGGGAGCAAAATGGTTGTCAGGGAAGTCTACAAGGTGAATAAACACACCAGATATGTCCCAGAAGATGGGATGCTAACTCAATTATATAACCTATATGCCACCGGCCAGGTTCAGGACTATTTGAAAATAAACATTGACAGAAGTAGAAAAACTTTGGGGAAAACATTTTTTTTTTTCCCCCTGAGGAACAAGCCATGTTATTATAAACTCAAGTCTCTTAATAACTAAATAAGTTATTTCTCTTTGGCCCAAAATTATATGATCAATGAATAAAGAAAATTACCCATTCCTAAGATTAAGGAGGGTTTTTCATAAAATATACATGTATCTGCTCATCACCTTAGACCTTCCACATTCATGGACTTGTCTGATTCCTTAGCGTTACTTAATATTTTTTAAATGAAGGCATCACATTTTGCCCCACTATCACAAAATTCTCACAATACTTCTGAGTTATTAATAAATTCATATTTTAAAGTATCAAAATAGCTTGTATTAATAAGTGTATGCTAAATTCAAGCATCACATACTAACTACTACATATTCAGCACTTAATCTGCCTATTATTATTCCCATTTTATGGATGAGGAAACTGAGGCTTAGGAAAGCTAAATAACTTGCGTAAGTGTCACAGTTAACGGAAGAGCTCTGTTTAAACCTTTTAATTCTCAGATTATTTTGTCTCTCATGTGAATACGGAATTAAGAGTTCTTATTTTGAGATGCCTTATGCTGATTATGGGCAGGTTTATAAAGCTCTGGCAGTCTAGGCAGCATCAGTTCTCATGAACACCTGGTAGGTACCTGTCCTAGACAAGACAGCAAGCACTCTGCTCTCCTACTTTTGACCCTTCCCCTCGAACCCATTTCCTGAGTAGCCTATAGCAACCATCCCTTCATGCTCTCAGTCGCTGCCAGTGATCCATGGGTGCCCCAATATAGACTAGACTTAGAAGAGACAACTTTCCTGAGTCCCACTTATATCTACTGTCTGGAATTAGTCGCTCATGATGCTCAAAGGGGAACTGTAATTAATTTCTTATTAATAGTGGGCACACTAAATTCTGTTCTGTATTTAAGAAATAATATCTGTTGCAGAGACAAATACTGGCTGAAGTTCTAACTCTAAATCTGACCCTGAGGAAATAGTTTTGTATCTTAGTTTCTTTATGTGAAAAGAGAGAAATATGTTATGCATTTTACAGGTTTTTGTATAGACATAAAGAAATGGTATATGCAAAAGTACTTTTATAGGTAGTACTAGAGACTTAGTGCACAACATTTGTGCACTTGCGGGGGGGGGGGGGGGGACGCACAGAGTCTAGGAAGGGTCCCTCAGCCTGGCTGAGCCCTTTTGCAGTCCGGGAGCCCTCAGGGGATGCCAGTTTAAGCGGGCAGTTGGACATCCTTAGTGCTGCTGCCTCTGCAGCAGTCAGTGGCTCCCACCACCACTTCTGCACCAGCCTTCAGCCCAGCTTGTGGCTGCGCGGCTCTCCCCTGTGTGAGTGCACTGACCACCAGGGAGCAGCTCCTGCATTGAGCTGCTCCCTGGTGGTCAGTGTGCATCATAGCAACCGGTTATTCTGCCGTTGGATTGATTTGCACATCACTCTTTTATTATATAGGATGGCTAAGAAAAAGTTTCTTATTAATTGAGTAAATTTTTCTTCAATTTCCTTTTAATCCTTTGCATTCAGTGAAGATTCCATCCGTTTTTTAGTCTTCTCCCCAGCACGCTTTGCTCTCTGTATTCCACATTTCTTCCCCAGACACATTTTCCTTTTCCTCTACAGCCTGACCACCTCTGCGCTTTGCTTTCTCTTTCGCTACCACTTTTTTATTCCCTTCTCATCATGACTATACCTCTTCTATCCTAGCTGTCACCTACATTGTCTTATATTGCTCTTAGTTTAACTTAATTCAGATAAATAATTAGCTATGTGATACCTATTACAAGCCAGAGATATACAAGATGAGTAAGAACCAGCTGACAAGTATAAATGTTATACCATTCTAGTGAGCCAGTTGACTAATTTAAATGCTGTAGTTTTTATATAGATATTTGGTTATTCTTAGCTATTCCTGATGTCACCCATCACATCCTATAATGTTAAGAGTGCTAACATACTGCAGGATGTGACCTCCTAGAGCCAGGTAAAAAGACTGAATTCTCATAATAATCTTAGTTATTAGTTTATTTTCCTGCAATGTAATATATTTAATTTCAGGATATAGATACATTGGCCCAACGTTATTTCAAAAGGTGTTTTATATCTATAATGAAGTAAAAATGAGACATAATTTAAGCCGTTACGCCTTTAAATACCAAGTTTTTTTTAAGTTACATAAATTGGAAAGGGGAAGTTTCTTAGCATTTCTTTTTCAGAAATTCATTAAAGAGTTGGGAGCTTTTATTAAAGTGTACAAACAAGAAGTAAGTTATCAAAGGAGATCTGACTAAGGTAATGGTAATGAACCATGGGAGGCAGGAGAAATAGTACAGCAATGGGCATTGAGCAAACTGAGAAGAAAAAATAGTGATAATGGAAATCACATCAGAAACAAGACAAAACAGTTCCAGAAAGCAAAATCACACACTCTGTCCCCTCCTCCTCTCTCAGGCCTTTGCCCCTCCTCTCTCCTGTCTGCATTTTTGTGCATGTATATTTCTCTCTACCCATCTTCAACCTCTCCCCCTGTTCCCGCAATCTATATACACGCTCAAAGCTAGTCTATTTTAAAATCCAAAGTGTTAGGTCATGTTCTATTGTTAATCCTGAAACAGTTACACACACGTCAGCTACCCCCGAGCTCCACACCAGCACTGCAGCAGCCTTCTTAATTTCCCTTTCACCATTTCACTGAAAGTGCTCTCCCAAGACCACCACACCCACCTTACTTCCCGATTCAGAAACAGCTTTGGGTCTGTTTACTTACACTTACTACAGGATTTAATCTTTCCTTCTAATGCCTTTCCTGGTTCCCATACATTTTTCTCTCCCAATTACCCTCCTTCCTCTCCAATCATTTTCCTTTGAGGATCCTCTCCATCCATCCACACTAAAATGTTGACTTTCCCCGGGGTTCCAACCCCAGACCCTGCTCTTATGTGTTACACTGGGCGGTTGCAGTATGGTCAGTGCTGATCATTCTCAAGCCAAGAGGGGCCTGTCTCAGAGCCACAGGCCCAGATCTCTGATGTTGTATAGGGCATCTCTATCAGAATTTCTCACAGGAACCTTGGAATTTAGCATCTCCCAGTTAAATTATGGTCTTTTTTAAACCCCGTTCCTCTCTCTATCCTCCTCATTCAGTCAATGGCATCCCTGTTCATCCCACCATCCAAATCTAGAACCTGAGAACCTCCTCCTTCACTCTAACTATTGTACTCAGTGTTCACTATCCGGGATCCATCACCTAATCACCTTAAAACTGGACGATTACATTGCCTGAAAACTAGAATCTACCTTTGTTCTCAACCCTTTTAATCCGTCTTTATGTTGATGCCAAGTGAGTGTCTCAATCTAATTGTGTTATGTACCTTGTTTAAAATATTTGAGCTTTATTCCAAAACCCTTGATGTACTCCTGGACTTTGTAATCTTGCTCCTGCCTTTGTCTCCAGCCTTACATTCTATCACTTCACAGTAGTGCACCTACAATTCAACTGGTCCAAGCTACCTGTTACTCCTTGATTGCATGGTCATCCCTTTCAAGACCTCATACTAACTATTCCTCTGCCAAAATACCCTTCATTCACCAGCTCTCAGCTCAACTCAGATCCACTTTCTCCACTCAGGCTTTTCTAGTTCTCCCTAGCTAACGTGGGTATTCCTCCTGCACTGCTATTATAAGCAGCACATGTCTCACTTACAATGCTATTGACTGTATTTCAGAGCGGCTCCTCCAGATAGCTAAGACCAAAAAAGCCAAAGGATTCAGTGAGCTACTATCAACCCTCTACAGTGTGAGACTAGGTTAAATTCATGAGAAAGGGAGTAAAAGGGAAATACGTGCAACAATAGAATTAATCCAATACTGGAAAACCTCACTTTGTTAGCCCACTAATCCAATAGGGACAGGCGTCTAACTGGTTTCGTATGCCACTTTGTACACCTATAATTGGAAACATTCAAAAGGCAAGGGTGAAGAGACTCAATTACATTCAACAAACAGTTAAGTATTTACATTCTAGGTCTAGGAATTATGAACAGGTATTACATAAAATGAAAAGTGGACTTTTATAATACTATATATTACAAGACATTGGTCTCATGACCCAGGAAAGCAGCACAATGATAGTGCTTAACTGCAATGAACCGTTGTTCCAAATACAGGAACAGCCCTGAACCAAAGGCCTACACCTGTTCCTGCCACACACACATGAGACAAACAAGGGAAACCCACAACCACAACTGACCAAGTGCGGTTCCATTCACTACGGAACTTCTAGGAAGGCATGTTTTCAGGAGAGAGGTGAAAAAGATGATGGCATTTAATAATGTACCAAGGAAGCCATGTGCAGAGCACTAGAAGAGGTCTTTAGTTTCTTCTTTTAAATACGCTGCCGAGAGATGAGCATATAAGACTCTGAACAGGAAATGCTTCTAATTGAAGAAATGAGAAAAAATGGAAGAAGCAAAAAAAAAAAAAAAAAAAAAAAAGCCTAGCTGGTTCATGCAAATACCTGCAGTACCTACTGATTGCTGTTGCAGAAAAGAAAAGTCATATCTAAGTATACAGGTGCTGCAATGAAATCTGTAAGTTCTGATATCAACTGGGCCTTCAATACAGCCTGACAATCTTTTCGTGTGTTCCTGATCAGTTCTTTATCTCTAAGTCTATATAGAATTATCTTAATTTTTTTTTTTTTTTTACTATCCTTCCCTCTCCTCAAAACTCACCATCACCACCCCCACCATCAGTATCTTCAGGTTTAAATGAGGTCATGAGGGTGGGGCCCTCATGATGGAATTAGGGCCATTATTAGAGAAACCAGATAGCTAGATAGCTAGCACCAATGTGTCCCCCATCCCCGTCTAGAGTACATGAGAACACATAAGAAGGCAGCCATCTACAAGCCAGGAAGAGATTTCTCACCAGAAACAAACCATACTGCAGCTCGGTTTTGGACGTCTAGCCTCCAGAATTGTGAGAAAGTAAATTTCAGTTGTTTAAGCCACTCAGTTTATGGTATTTTATTACGGCAGCCCAAACTGACTAATACAGAATCATACTTACAGTTGGAGATTTCACATACTGGCCCCAATTCCAGCTTGATTCAATAGTAATATCTTTAAGTTAAGTAACACTAATGCTGGTTTTGAGTTAGGTGTTTAATTTTTTTTTTAAATACTATCTTTCAGAAATAATTATAGAAAATGAGAAAGAATAAACGAGAAGCCTGGAATCCCAAACAGCTCTAGTGCAGGCATCCTGAAAAGTATGGCCAATCTGGTAAAAATGTAATAAGGATACTTACCACCACCAAGAATGTAAGAATCCCGGTGGCTCGCCCAGTGTGATGTTTTTTTCCCATCTTATCTAAAAGGAATAAAAGAGACATTACTTTTCAACTAACACTCTCTCCACACCTTTTACAAAGCAGGATTTTTCCATTTAAAATATTAAGATAACATATAAGATTTCAATCAGTTTCATAGTATTCTTTACTCAAGTTTTACAAGTACTCATTTTATGAAATAATTTGTTGACTGCATAGTCTGTGAAAGAAGATGCCACCACTATTTTTTTCTGAATTTGCTCCCCACTGTGCCAGAATTCCAGAAGGTATTTCAGGGTCTTAAGGTACTTCAGCATGTTAAGGCACTTCAAAACCAAAGGTATTACTAACATGAAAATCAGTTATCACCACTAACCCAGAAATTTGCAAGAGATTGGGCTTAATATGTACACACTCTAAATTATGCCTTAAGGATTGAATTTTTGAGTAAGAAGGCATATGTCTTCCCTAAAATAAGAGTTTTTACAAAAATGCTGATATTATCCTTCCAATTGCTTATACTCAGATGAGTCTAAGTCCACTATAATAAAAATTTTAAACTATGGCAATTAACCCCCCCAAAATTAAAAGTCGTAAATATTGTTTACAAAGTAAATTTAGAAATTGGAAAGCAGGGCAGGCATTTATACAGTGTCTTTTCTAAGCACTGGATATCAGTAAACACAAATGGTAAAAATCTTCGCATTCAGAGAGTTCCACTTTAGTTAAGATAGGGGTGTCGAACTCAATCAGAGAAGGGGCCAAAATCTAAAATCCAGCCTAAATCGCGGGCCGAATGGTTTACTGAACAGTCATAAACTGTCATTGTGATGGAAACGCAGCGGAGTGCAGTGATGACAGCGCGGTGTGGGCCACATTGCAAGGCCTGGCGGGACGGATTTGGCCCGCGGGCCTTGTGTTTGACACATGTGAGTTAAGAAGGCAGACCATAAACAAAGAACCCCTCCCCAAAAAAGATTGTACATACTTATATTAGAAGTAGAAGGTGACAAATGTTACAAAAGAAAATAAAGCAGTGAAGGGAGGATAAAGAGAGCAGGAAAACTGTAAGAAGTGGCTTATGATTTTAAAAAGTTGATCCAAACTTAAACACAATCTTATGTATTTGCCTTAGTTTTTTTTTAGTTTAAGTAACTAAAAATTATTTAACAACACTCAATTAACAAAATATGTCCATGGGCCCTTAATATTACTAGGAAGAATACAACTATAATTATACAGCCAAGGATTTCTTTCTACCACCTACGATGGAAGATGTTAAGACTTCTTATAGCAAAGGGATTTTTTAAAAAGTTTTTGAATAGGAACTCAGAAGGGGGCCCTAAATGTAAAAAAAAAAAAAAGAAAGAAAGAAAAATGGGGGGTGGGAATGAGGAAGGAAAAAAAAAAAACTCTCTAAGGAAGAGATGGAAAAACTTAAAAGCAATTAAAATAACTGAAACTGGCTGCATTTATTAGAGTTCTAAAGAATGCAACATGTAAACCGATGGAAATCTTAAAGTAGACAAATAATTTCCTCTCAAAAACACAAAGAAAATTTCTAAAGATTAGAAAAGTATACATGTGATAGCCATTTTTAAAATAGAGCTAAAAGGAGAAACTCTAGGAATTCATGAACTTGAGTTTATAAAGACTAAATAAGAATAAATCAGAATGTGTTATAGTCAATGTACCATATTTTCCGGCGTATAAGACGACACCCTAATTTTACAGTTAAAACATAGGCTTAGGCCTATATTCGCTGTATAAGACTACCCCCCACTTCTGAGGCAACACCAGTTCTTTTTTTAATAGACCGCCTCTCTGAGTCTGGCCAATCTGAGCAGGCTTTTTACTAGAACACAGTGTAGCTTTGGGTACAGAACATGTATAATTTGCATGCATAAAAAGCCTGCTTGGATTGGCTGAGTTAGAGAGGCGGTCTGAGAAGCCTTGCAGTGATTGGTGCGGGATCAAGTTGGAAAATTCGTTTAGTGGCATATCAAGACGTTTTTTGGGATATACTCGGTGTATAAGACGACCCCCCAGTTGACTTTTTTCCGTTTCAAAAGTCATCTTATACACCGGAAAATATGGTAAGCCAGATCCTTTCATTCTCCTAAGTAGTAACCAATAATTTTTATATTTATGCTGCTTTTTATCTGATAATTTCCAATGATCCATAATACATCTCCTTGGTTCATGAAAAAATAAGAAATAGTACTTAATGAGTCTTCTGAGGTGCACAACTCTGATGGACTACTAAAGTTGTAATTTAATCAAAAGCCTGTATCTCATCTTTCACTTTTTTCTGAAATCATTTTTGCACTAGTTGGTGTCTTCTTACAGATGTGCCCCAAACACACTAATATTCCTAATCCCTTGAATTATCCTAATCACTTAAACAACAAGTTTTTCAAAGTAGCATCTTTACATTTCATCTCAGTTCATCTTGACTTTACATATTGTGACTGTACTATCCTCAGTCACAAGGAGAACGTGCAGTGACTTATGGAAGCGTTAAGGTGGCATGACCAGGTCCCAGTGTCACACTGTGCTGGGGGTGGGGCTTAGACTCAGTCTGAGCCCCACTACAACACACCTCCTTCCTGCACTTACACAATGCCCACAGTCAATCACCAGCTTCCTCAGGACATAAAGCACTCAGGAAAATACCTATATGATTTAGGTTTGATACGGTCTTTCATCAGAGGAAGTCTAAAGGGAACGCATTTGTATTTTAAACAGTATTACATCTTACTATTCCTCAGAGAAACTAAAAATGGTTCACATATATCATGTTTTCATCCTCATATGATTCTTCACTATATAGTGAGTGAAGTTCATCTTTCTCACTTTGAATTGCAAAGCTGTGGCAGAAGCAGCCAAAACTTTGGTCCATCATATTAAATTTAACACAAAAGCTATCCTTTTATAGTTAAGGAATAAACAATAAATGCTTTGGGTATTTCCAAAGGAGAGGACTCTACATAGGAATATGTTTCCATAGTGAATGGGTTTCATTTGTTTGTTTGTTTGTTTTTGGTCTCTAAACTAATTAATACTCAAGGTATTACTTTTTTAGAGAAAGCATGAAATTATAGGAACACAGAACCCTGATCTATAGAAAACCCAAGGCACATTCATTGATTGAGTACTGTTTAGAAAAAAACTGAAAAACATTCACCAAAAGTGAATAGAAATCAATTTTGATACATACTACACAACAGTGTGGAATCATTAAAAAGAATAAAATATACCTACATAGAAAAAGGATCATGCTATATTGGTTTTCAAGTTGGAAGTTTGGAAGGTTGGAGAAAAATATATCTAATATAAAATTTTTTCTGTTAAAAAAAGTGTGTGTGTGTGTGTGTGTGTGTGTGTGTGTATATATATATATATATATATATATATATATATATATATATGCATTGGGTGTTTTCATATATAAAAAAATCACACCAAACTTACAACTATGATTTCTAGAAAAGAATAAAAGGCTTTCACTTAAAATTATATTCATCTATATAGTTTAATTTTTTTAGCTAAGATGCATTAATGTGGATGGGGTTGAGGAAATGGCCAGAAAATACCTCTAAATATCAATAGTCATTTTAGAAACAATTCTGCTATTTATAAAGAGGCATTGTCTGTTGTACTGTTTCATGGGATTCGGGCTTATTTAAGTGTTTGAGTGGCAGCTATCAATTTCTCTCAAATTCCAGCCTCAAAGTATGCTAGGGCTTTTTTATCTTTTATTTAATCATTCACTTCTCTTCCTTCCATATTTGCCCAGCTAAAAGTTGTATTCTCCTATAACTTGTAGGTAAATCTCTAAGCCCATTCCCACTGCTATATTTTGATTTGAAGGTCTCATCTCCGATTAAGCTATGTCTGTATCATATGATCTAGTCTTTTTAGCATTTCTATATAAATGCAAAACCAAACACTGAATCATCTGGGTGGAAGAAAGACATGCCATGTGCTTTATAAATAATAATTACAAATTACAAATGTATATACTATCTAATATAGCAATTCTTCTTCTAGTAATTTGTCCTATATATATATATATGGTCATTTGTGTAAATACATGCACACAAACTCACACACACACTGTCTGTAATTGCAAAAAACTGGAAATAACCTAAATGTTCATAAGTAGAGGGCTGGTGAAATACATCATGGCATATTTCATAGAATAATATCCTATAACCACAAAAAGACAATTATGAAGTTTCACAAACCAACATAAAATGACTGAAATCTAACAAGTGAAACAAAAATCAAAGCACAGAATAGTGTTTGAAATAAACTAACATTCATGTAAAATAAGAAAAAAAAATGATAAACATACAGGCACACTCACATGAGCACACACACACACACATCTTCTTAACTTCTCATCATTATTTGCTTTCAGTCACTCACTGAGTACCTCTCAGCCCCACACCCACCCTTCTCTACTCCATTCTACACTGGTGCTAGGATTCTAAAAATGACATTTCCTGGGTTTCTTGCCAGCTGGTTTCCTGTTAGGTTCTGCCATCAGGAGACACTTGCAGGGGATCAAAAGGCAGGAGGAAGAAGAGAAGCTTCCTGCCTCCGGCCCCCCAAATGAAGCGGTTGCTGGCTGTAGCAGCAGCAGCAGCAGCAGCGGCAGCCGGGTGGGCCCTTCTGGAGGTCAGCAGCACCTTTCTGGCGGTTCTGGTCTTGTCAGTGTGGGACCTCTTAGGTTTTATTAAGAGGTCCCAGTCATTTTATGTTGGTTTGTGAAACTTCATCTAGACCCCTTCCAACATCATCGCCAACTGCACAGCAGCAGGTTTGAAACACACAGGACCCAAATTCTCAGAATATTCCTAAGTCCTTTCATATTTTTTAAAACAAAAAAAAATCAATACCATAAAAGAATAAAGCTAGTTCCTGTGTTAAGAGCTTGTATACCTATGTATACATTTGTTCCTGGACAAAATTCCTGAGACTTAATTTAGATATACCCTGCTGTTCCCACCAATTTTCTAAAAGCTTCCATGTATAGAAGTATGGGTGCATCTATACTCTAAACTAAATGTGTAAAAAAAAAATTTTTTTTTGTATTTTAATTCAAAAAATTAAAATAGATATTTAACAGGAAGAAAAATCTGTCTCTACTCTGAAGCTAGTAGTCCAAAACTGTGCTGTTTAATGATCCTCGGTGACCATGATGTAGCTTTTTAAATTTCAAATTAAGTTAACTGACTATTCCTCAATTGCAGTAGCCACTTTTCAAATGCTCAATAGTCACGTGTGGCTAGTAGAAAACTTACTAGACAGCACAGATTAGAGACCATTTCCATAATCACATAAATTTGTATTATTGAATAGTTCTGTTTTACTTTAGAAGGAAGTAAAAGTCATCTTAAAGAGAAGTTATCTTTTATTGAAAAAGCTCCTTGATAAATTCTTTCAATTTTTGTTTTTATTTTTTGACCTAGAGAGGCAGAAGCTCCCTAGGAATGGTTTGAAAGTAGAGAATAAATAGTTATATTCTACATAATAAAATAACAAGAATTTAGGAGATTGCTAATTTTCTCTCAGGAAGAAGTTGGGGAGGGGGCTGTGGGAAGATTGAGGAAAGGAGAAAATGGGAGAAGTTTTAAAGAGCCAACAAGATGGAAGGCAAACAGAGCCCTCAGACAAGAGCTAGTGAGAAAGTCCCAGTGACAAAGAGACCAAAGAACTTAAGGATAATTATGTCTAATATTTTAGTTAATGTTGCTGTCTGTATTATACAATGATTAATATTCAATTTTCTTCCAACCTTCAGTAAGAATCTTTTATACACAAAAGCAATGAATTAGTGGAGCTTTGAGGCTGTAAGGAAATAGAAAACTTCAGGCAAAGAAAAAGTACCAGCCATGAGAAGGAGAAGCAATGGGGAAGTAATACTTAGTAGGAGCAAGAAATTATAGCAAGAGAACTCAAAGCCCCTCCCCTGGCAAGGCCCCAAAACATTAGAGAGGACTTGAGAGAACCCATAATAGTAGTGATTAGAGCTGGAGCCATGTTGATGGAAGAAGTAACCTAGGAAGGTAGGAGGAATGTGGGCTGTCCAAATGACAAGACACTTGGACCACACACACACACACACACACACACACACACACACACATACACACACACACACAAAATAGAAAAGAATTGGCCAAAAACTTAAGAAATAACACCGTGAAAACTTAGTATATGGTAGGCCTTTCTAAGCACTTTATATGGGTATACTAACTCATTAAACCTAAGCACAACTTTTAAACTGCTATTATGATTATCTTTTTTAAAATATAGTTCTTTGATTTTAGAGAGGAAGGGAGAGGGAGAGATAGAAACATCAATGATGAGAGAGAATCATCGATCAGCTGCCTCCTGCACTCCCTACAATCCAGGCATGTGCCCCGACCGGGAATTGAACTATGACCTTCCATTTTGTAGATAGACATTCAACCACTAAGACATTCTGGCTGGGCTCAAAGCCTTCTAATTAATAATTTAATAAGTTAAGACATACTAAACTTCTGTTTTGATTTGAATTAACTTTGAAATCAAAGTTTTATTACAATGAGTGTATTCCATTTATGGTAAAACAGCTAACTTATATGCTGTGAGCAAACTTCTCAAATTCCTTAATTGCAAAGAGGCCCTAATAGTTCATATTTACTAATTAATTAGATACAAGATTGTAGGGCTGTGAATGTTTGTTTGCTTTTGCGTTTGTTTGGAAAACAAGTGAATCTCAAGAAGACTGCACCTCAGATGGGGCACTCTAAAGGAGGTGCCTGTGTGTCCTGGATCTGGTGGTGGACAAACTGTGAGATCACTAGAGACAACATCATTTTGAGCAGCACTGTCACACAGAAATATAAACATGAACCACAAATGGGAGCTGTATGTGTGATTTTAAATTTTCTACTAACCATATTAAAAAAGAAGGGTAAAATAAACTATAATAACAAATTTTTTTTATTTTACCCGATATATCCAAAATATTACCATTTCAGTGTATGATCAAAATTTTTTAATTATTGATATTTTATTTTATTTTGTTCACACTTATGCACTTCTTAATTGGATTAGTCCTATTTCAAGAGATCAAAAAGGCATATATGGCTAGTGGCTACCATGCTAGACAGTGCAGATACTAGGGGAAGCTGGAGGCTTGACACTGACATAGACCTAGGATTGAATTCTAGCTCCACAACACACTACGCTGTGTGCCCATGAGCCAGTTATATAAACACTTTAGACCCTGTTTGTTCTCACAAGTAAAACAGGAATAATATAATTCACTGTGAAAATTTCTTATAAGAATCAGAGATAATATATTTAAAGTGCCTTACACATAATAAGAAATTAAATAAAATACTCAACCTCATCCTATATAATAGAGAGGTAATATGCAAATAGACTATCAAGCCCTCACAAGAGGGCTGCCTATGAACAGGCTGGCAGGGGGGGTTAATGAGAGATGACCAAATGACTAAATGACTTAACAGCAGGCTGTGTGGGGCAACCAGGCCAGCAGGGAGGAGGGGAGGGAAGGAGGAGCATGAGGGGTGACCAGGCTGGCAGGGGCAATTAGGCAGGCAGGCAGGTGAGCGATTAGTGGCCTGTGGATCGGGCCTAAACCAGCAGTCAGACATCCCTCAAGGGGTCTCAGATTGGAGAGGATGCAGGCTGGGCTGAGGGAATCACCCTCCATGCACAAATTTCGTGCACCAGGCCTCTAGTCATTATATAAATTGAAAAGAAAAAGAACCATTGCAAGAAAACTCAAATTCAATGTTTAAAAAAATGTGGAGAGACATAGAAAGCGAAACAAGAACTTGAAATAATATTATTAAATGTTTTCTAGCTGAAATCCATACAAAATTAAAACAAAACAAAAAACATATTTTTAAAATTGTGAATAATGCCAGAATAAAATATTGCTAGAACTAGAGACAGGGTGGTGTTTGCTTTTTTTTTTTTTTTTTTAAGCAAATTTGCTTTTTTGATTATTTTTGCCAAGGCCAACATTAGTTTCCATTTATAAGGTAGAAAATGGCTGGACAATTGAATAGGTTATTGGTATGGAAATGGCATTTGGGGATACTAAAATTGTTAACAGATAATCTACAAAGATTACATTACCCATACTGATAACTGCATACTCAGTATATAATATATAAGGATTAATTTCTTTCAAATAACAGTTACAGTGCATTTTTCAATTGTTTACATAAGTTATAAAAATACAGTGCAGAAAACATAAAACATACCTCTGATAAAAATGTTTGGGCCGATTTCTGAGCTCCTACATGGAGCAGATATTCATATACGTAGAGTGCTAACCTGGAAAACGAATAAAATATTTATTAAAAAGAGGGATATTTAAAATTAATTCTTTAAGTAATTACACACCTTTATATTACAAAATATTTTACACCTTTAATAGTGACACAAATCTTCCCATAGCCTTTCAGTGGGAGTTTAGACATTATATGTTCAGAAAGAACTTAAACTAATTAAAGTAGCACACAAAGAAAAAGATAAATACATCTTTTCTTGGCAAGAAATGTCTAAATATAAATTTGTGTAATTTGTGTCCTGTATCATCTCACCATAACCTCATCCCCTTTGTTATATCTTATATAATTAATAATTTATAACCAAACATTAATGATCATTATAACTTATTTTAAGATATAGTTATAATCTTTCATTTGTAAAATAAATGAATTAACTCATTGAACCTTTCCAACAACTTTATGTCCTTTCAATTTTTTGTTGTGTGTAACGTAAACTTCAGCTATTTGCACATCCATATGCCAAAACAGGTGTTGAATGTCCATCTTAATACCTGTTCTGCAACCTTTCCTTATTCTTTAGTTTTGATTTTAAGCCAGTAATATTTTACTTTATAATGAACAGCAAACTACAGTTTTAAGTAAACTTTAAAGGTATCAGATCATATTAAGTATTTGGGTGCTATTGTTTAAAAGTTAACCCAAAATTACATATAAATTTATCACTCAAGTACAGAATATTAAGTATGCAGTATATACAGTGCTCTCATTATCTTGTGGATTCAGAATTTTTAAGTTACACCATGTGGCTCAATTTCAGTTGAGCTGTTAACAAAATATTATTCATAAACCCAAATTAGTCTGAGGCAGTATTTCTAATGATATTTTGGACCAGTGCCCAGATAGCTCACAACAGTTCCGTTTCTGCTACACCATATTTACCAATATTGAGCCAGGCTTACAGTAAACAAAACAATGTAACAAGGACCACAATTCTGTACAGCAACACCACTTCTCGTGCCAAGTGAATTTTGATTGTTACAGATTGACAGCACGTGCAGAAATGACTATTTTCTTCATTATCATCAAAAACACTTCCTGTATTTGTCATAAAAAGAGAAACCCTGTGCAAATCTAGTTGCTCTGTCCATTGATTCTTTCCCCATTCCAAAACTGCCAAACACTCAAAATGAGAATTATACTAAGCAGCATAAGAGAGTAGACATCTGTTGAGATTACTCTTAGATGAAAAGCAGGTTATTGACAGCAGATATGTATCTAATTGACTGGTAGAAACATCTCCTAACTTCAAGTTAAATTTCATTTCCTATGAAATTTGCTTCTCAACTCTTTCTCTGCCCTAGCACATGTGAGGACTGTGCCATGCTCCTTTTTGGTAGCAGTATCTCCCTATGGAGGTGTGGCTCATCCCCAGAGTATTTCATATGGGATACAAAAATTGGAATATTCCTGTAGTTTCAAACAAACAAACAAACACATCCTAGTGGTGATTCTTAAGCACACATATCCCACACACCCTGTCCCTCCATTAATCACTCCCAACCATATAGCATGAGTCATTGACCATGATGGTCAATTTCATCTCGAAAAGCATATTATTTGGGATTTTTCCCCATAGAAACTGTGAGGCCTCATAATTGCCTGCGAGTGTCAGTATCACCCTCCTGCCTACCTAAGAAGAAACAGAGCCTCCGGTGATTCCTTGTGGCTTATAAAATCTTGGACCTAGAGCCAAACCAGTGGTGCAGACTAGACCAGGTCTCCAGGCCTCACTCCAAGTCTGAACAACAAGGATGCTCCCCCAGCCTGAAGAAGCTGGAAGTGAGAGGCAGAGAGTGAAGCGGAGGCACCGTGGTGGGCCTGCAGAGAAGAAAACAGCCAAAGCCAGAGCATACTTGTTGCTGTGTCCTCGCAATACACATCTTTCCTTAAAGGTAAGCAAATCTTCCTTGTAATATCTTCTTTGTACTATTCAACTGACTCATTGTTTCTTCTGTGTCCCACCACCCCCTCCCTCCACCCCAGTTAATTAGGTAACAGAAAGGATATTGCTTTACTAGTAGAATTAAAAGTAATAATCTCCACTCTTTTCTCTATGAGTCTAGGACAGTGATTCTAAAAAATGTATTGGGCCGAAACCGGTTTGGCTCAGTGGATAGAACGTCGGCCTGTGGACTGAAAGGTCCCAGGTTCAATTCCGGTCAAGGGCATGTACATTGGTTGTGGGCACATCCCCAGTAGGGGGTGTGCAGGAGGCAGCTGATCAATGATTCTCTCTCATCAATGTTTCTAATTCTCTGTCCTACTCTCTTTCTCTCTGTAAAAAATCAATAAAAATATTTAAAATAATAAAATTTAAAAAAAATTAAATGTATTGGTAGGACACAGAATCACTGGGAAAAGGGGGTTTCAAACTATATAACTGGATATTCTGAAGCATCTTCCAAAGGGTGTAGCTGTTCCCCTAACCTTAGAATCTATAGCAGCACATAGTAACCAACAGGGTGAAGAAGTGGGACAGGACTGAGGAAATCCATCTAGAATGCCACCTCATATGCCCATGTTCTGCAACCTCCCTTGAACAAAACTGATGTTTTCCAAGCAGTCAGGACCTGTGCTCCAGAGAGAGTCTGCATGAGTGAACAATTAATTGAACTCGACTGCCACTATGACTCCTTACTATATCACCAGGAAACTGACAATATTTTAACAATCGCCTCTGTGCATAGGAGTCTCCAAATCTCTTTAGCCCTACTCTCTCTACCAAGCTCCAAATCTGCTTTTCCAAACCACTGTTCGAAGTATCTAACAAGATATTTCTCTCTTAAATTGAGTGTACATAGTTAAATTTGCCTTCTTTATCTGTGTACAGTACCTGTGCTCACCTTGAATGAGACACAATCTGGGTCTGTTTCTCCATTTGTAAAATGGGAAGAATATTACTTGAGTATTGTTGAAACTACTAGCACAATAAATAGTAACAACTATTATTATAATTTCAGCTAATTCCCCCACATCCAGTAATATATTACCAAATCATAGACTGGATTCTAATGCCACAATCTCTCCCACATTGGTCATTCCTTTCTATTCCCATTTCCTGCTCCTGAGGAGCCACTGAGAGCCACAGCAACGACGGAGGAATATTTGCTCAGCTTCAGATACAGACGCTGCATATTTCCCATTGGCTCCCAACAACAGAGGCACTAGGACCAAAAACAAGAATCTCCAGAAGGTTCAGGGGGACAGGGGGGCAGGGAAGTCTTGCAATAAAAGATACTGTTTGAACAAAAATGATTCCAAGGGAGTGGGGAGACACTTGTCCATCCATGAGGTAAATAAATCATAGCATTGTCCCTCACTTAGTGACATGAGATCACCAAACACAAGAAGACAACATTTTATTTAGATCCAATTTCTACTGAACAGTAAAAATTTAAAGATAAATATCACAAATACAAATATTTAAACTATGTATACTTTTAAGTAACATTTCTTTTTTGGCATCCTTTAAGAAATTTAAGGGGCAAACGTGTGTACCTCCTTCAGAAGCCTGGGGGCAGCTCTGATCACAGCACTTATTATCAATCATAAAGGTAGCCCTGTGTCTCCAGTAAATGATTAAACTTTGCCATGCACACTACTTAAAAATCTAAGATATTTAGCTAGAAAAGAATTAAACCTCTTATATGTTACCTGCAAACTCTTTTCCCCAACAAACTTTTTTGTTGTTGTTGGACTTAATTTTGGTCAGGGTTTTCAAAATTTTTTGGGGGGGTGGGTTTGGTGTTGAGGGAGAGACATTTAGACATTTTGTATATATAAATATAGAAATAACTAATATAAAAAAATTCTAAGCCCTGATAGATAAATATGCAGAGACGATAACAAACATCATAACTAATTTTGAAATGTGGAAAATGTTAAACATAACTAGGAATCAAAAGAATATATATTAAAGCAGCCATGTGATTTAAATTCTCACCTTAATACACAATATGTAAGGAAATGGATATGTTGATTGCAATAAATTAGTATATAATTCTTTTTAAAAAAACAATTTGGCAATAACTTATACATCAATAACTTTTTAAAATATTTTTATTGATTTCAGAGAGGAAGAGAGGAAAGAGAGATAGAAATATCAATGATAAGGAAGAGTCATTGATCATCTGCCTCCAAGGTGCCCCCCACTGGGATCAAGCCCACAACCTGTACATGCCCTTGACTGGAATCGAACCTGGGCACCCTTCAGTCCACAGGCTGATACTCCATCCTCTAAGCCAAACCAGTGTATTAGATATCAGCCTGTGGACTGATGTTGGATTTGCCAACATTTGAAGTTCCACCCCCAGTCAGAATACATACAAGAAGCAACCAATATGCCCAGCTAGCATGGCTCAGTGGTTAAGCACTGATCTATGAACCAGGAGATCGCAGTTCAATTCCCAGTTAGAGCACATCCACAGGTTGTGGGTTTGATCCCCAGGGTAGGGCATGTAGGAGGCAGCTAATCAATGATTCTCTCTCATCATTGACATTTCTCTCTCTTTTTCCCTCTTCCTTCCTCTCTGAAATCAATAAAAATATATTTAAAAAGAAAGAAAAAGGATTCCCAGGGTAGGGCATGTAGGAGGCAGCCAATCAATGATTCTCTCTCATCATTGACATTTCTCTCTCTTTTTCCCTCTTCCTTCCTCTCTGAAATCAATAAAAATATATTTTAAAAAGAAAGAAAAAGGATTCCCAGGGTAGGGCATGTAGGAGGCAGCCAATCAATGATTCTCTCTCATCATTGACATTTCTCTCTCTTTTTCCCTCTTCCTTCCTCTCTGAAATCAATAAAAATATATTTTAAAAAGAAAGTAAAAGGATTCAAATAAACATAAAACCCCCCAACTAATGAATCACCATTTGTAATTTTAAAACTCTGTTTGTTAATTCACTATATGTGCAAAAGTGCAGGGAAGACAGGGTAGGATAACTTCAAAACCTGCTGTTCCTAATTTCTCTTGAAATTGAACT